AGTGTACTCACTCAGCTACCAAGACCTTGTGATGACATCATTTCATGTCAAGAAAAAGATAAGATAATATCACAAAATATAGTAGAATTCATAGTGTAGCCTACCTAGCACAGTACAGTGTGCTATACTGCATTCTATTGCCCTGTAACATAACTTACTGCGTCGATCGACATACATGCATCTCAGTCTCATGCGATGTGTATATATATATAGTTATGTTGCAGGGATTTACGGGTTAGGCTTCAGGATTTAGAGCTGCTTGCATCTGTGGAGACGACCTGGCAGTCAAGAACTTTACATTTCACCATCCAACCGCAGCTTCCACACAAACATGTTTCAGCTTGAGGGTTTTCAGCTGCAGGGTCCGGGTTCAGGGGGTGTGATGTAGAGTACGAGCCCAAACCGCACGAAAAAAGACGAACACACCTTCCGGGATGCGCCACATAAGCACAAACGAAGGACTGACAACTTCGGCCAGATGGCGATACTGTGCTGGGAGTACACAGCAGGAAGATTCAAGTGAGCACACAGCAATGGGATAATTGTTGTCATTGTCATGCTTTCCCTGACAATCATCACAACACCGCAAACAAATCAGAATGCAAGAACCCTGATCCGCGAATATCAACCTCACCCCGACTGGAAGCAACAACTACAAAGCAAAACCCGAACCAACAAGAAATGTGCGCAGGGCTTGCCAGTGTGAGGACTGACGGGCTCCTCCCCTTCTTGGTTGTATAGCTTCGCAACGAAATCCTGACCTTAATAGGGGAACCCTCCACAACTTACGCGTGGCCCACAGGTCCTCGTCGGTCATTCGCTCCCCGAGCTCCTTCGACCACGGCGCTCTTGCCGCTCTCTACAGGAACTTAGGGTTAAGATTGCGTGGAAGCTCGGGTGTCAGGATATCCGCAATTGTCACTGCTCGTCTGCTCTATCCTCTCTATCTACTGCAAACCAACTGATGAGCTTCACACAATTGCGGTATCGTTGGCGAAATTGCAAAGTGAGGTCCAACAACAATGTTCTTTGGCCTTGAGTCGCCTACACCAACAGTACGGCGCAGGACTGTTTGCCAGAATCGAAAACAGCTTTTGCACATCCTATGCCACTACTCCAACTACTTCTGCCCTGTCTATCATGAGTACTATTGCTGCAGCTGCTCCCCCTGCCCCTACCCTCCACTCCTACTCCTAGTACTATCACGACGACTACATGACTACTACTGCCACCAAGCATGATAACCAACCGGAAAACTATCTGTTTGATGCTACAGTTGCAACCTAAAAGAAACCCTGAACGTCGTCAACGCACAGCACGCCCTGAGACTGAATCATGGCCTACTATGCCCCACAACCATGTCCCAACTGCGGATGAACCCCAGAAAAAAGATCACCGGCAAGACCAGTCCCAAACATGCAAAAGATGGCCCGCCTTGGCCACCCGCTTGAGATTCTTGAAAGAGATCTTGCCCGTCTCGTCATCGTCGAAGAGGCGGAAGGCCTGCATTGAGTGCGAATGTTGCAACTAAGCTTGAAGTTCGGTCCTCTTGAACTATGTCGTCGTAATGTTACAGCCCGCTACCGTAGTGCATACCTTCCAACTCGTTCGGCACTATCAACTTGCCGATGTACGGTCGCGCTACTATCCATATCAAAGATGGTTGTTGACTGATGCACAGCGAACGAAGCTCATGCGCACATCGGTTCAGGGCCCATTGGCGCTTGCAGATAGGAGAGCGCCCCATGCGCTCCGGACCCGGACTCCTCGAAGTCCCCATACCCGCGACAGCCTTTTGCAGCTTAGTGTGGAAACAACTGACATACCAACACCTCATTCTCATCTTGTCCTGTGTCCAGCCCTGGACCCGCTAAGTCAATTGCTCCCAAAAGCAAAGCCTTGAGAATCTCGTCCTTCGGGTCACGATTCAAGATCTTGTGGGTCATCCTCAGCAGTCTCCAATCGAAGGAATCAGGCTCAGACTCTAGGAGTTTGTCAGCAGATCATGCTCCAGGGATATGTTGGCCTGGGCTACGGGCTTTAGGCCGTGGGACTGCAGCAGCGGCAGCGACAGCCACCGTGACACAAACAAGAACGACAACACCAAGTCTTTGCGTGAAACGATGCCTGCAACGGGCATCATTCGAGGTGCTCAGAACCGTTCAGTTTGAGACAAACGCCTCCGGGCTTAGGGTTGGGCTTTCAGGATTTCAGGAGTCAGGGTCCACGTCTAGATGGATCCAGGGTGCATGGCCTCAGGTCCTGAATCCTGGATAGGGATTGATCTTGCTAAGCTTGAGGTAGCTTCAACAGCCGCCAGCAACTCGACAAGCTTCCACCTGTCAGTACTAGATTGTTTGGAAGATTACCACGAACAATTCTCGACTGCCGCCGGATTTCATCTTCAGGAACTCCTCATAGCCGATGGTTCCTGAGCCGTCATCCTCGGATGACAGGCGTCGAGAGATGGGGTTGCAAAATCTAGACTGAAGAGTTTCCACTGTAAACTCAAAACTGTGAAACTTCAACCATCCACATTGTCGACTTCAAAGCTGAATATCCCCGTGTCCACGAACACCCAGAATAGTCTAAACCATACTCTACACTTGGACTCTCAACACCCCACGCCTGGACTCCGACAGAGATCAAGGCTAGTTGCGAATCCATAATCCATAAACCCACCAGTCCATGCAGGAGCTGCAGTGAGATCCCTAACGATTCCCCCCCCCCCCCATTGCACGATCACCCTAAACCTAAACTCCTACGCCCCTGTTCTGAACCAATGCCGAAACCCGAAACCCTAGACTGCAAGTCCCATAGACTATAGACGTCAACTAGGCTCCTGAAGAACCCTGCAAGCAAGCCGAGGCGCATCCACATCGGAGATCATCTTCTGGATTTCCTCTTTCTTTGGTTCGAACCCCAGGGCACGCATGGCCACCTGTCAGGAAAGAGAGCTTAGGGTTTAGGATTTAATGATTTCAGCTTTAGGGGCGTCTTGGGGTCTTTTTGCGTCCGTTCATAATCATTGCTTCCGGAAGGTCATGGTGGGATTTTTGTGCGGGATCAATGCTTCGGGCGGTCTAGGGAGCTCCTTCAAGATTCTGGGTCCCGGGTCTCGGCGACTTCGCCCTTGTAGACTTGATGCTTCGGGACAGGCCGAGCTTAGTGTTCAAGAGGCGCAAAATGTAGGGTTTAGCCTGAGACTTTGTGGTGTCAAGAACTCAAAATCTAACTCAGCCGGAACCCTGAAGCCCAGACCTCGAGCCAGAGCTCTGGACCCTAGAAAGAACATTGGGGCAAGGCGTTTGCTACACTAGAAGAATATGCAGCACACGGGGAATCTCATCACTGTCAGTCGTAGGACAACATTGCTCATCAGCAGTTCGGATCATGTGTGATATCTGACATGCATGGCAGCGCTTGGGAGATTGCTTGCACAGCGCGCTGTGCCTACCGTGGCAGCCAGGCCTCTCCTGGGTTGCCACCAACAAGTTTATAGGTTCCGCATGCAGGAAGCCAGGGCGAAGTGGCGAACATCTCGGACTCGCCTTGAGCTCCTTGGAGTCGATTTCTCCGGAGCCGTCGGTGTCGAAGAGGTCGAAGGCCTCGGCTCGGATCCGCGAGGGGTCCCTGTCGGCGAAGTCCACGTAAGTTTGCAGTGTTTTTTCTTGAACGGAGGGAAGGGGCAGGTTCTCTAAACGTCTCAAAATTGGTCACTTGTCACTTGTAACCAAACATTTTCAAGCTTGGTTTTGAACATTTTCAAAGTTTGCTAATATAGCACATGTATGCTTGTGTGTGGGTATATGCATAAAATTATATATATATATACACATGTATTATGTATGTATGTATGTATGTATGTATGTATGTATGTATGTATGTATTTAGGTAGGTAGGTAGGTAGGTAGGTAGGTAGGTAGGTAGGTAGGTAGGTAGGCAGGTGGGTAGGTAGGTAGGTAGGTAG